AAAAAAAAAAAAAAAAAGGAAGTCTCACTTCTGCAACTTAAAAGCAAAGAGTATCATCTTTAAAGAGACTGAAAGCTGAAAAGCAACACAGGAAGACACCCCTCTTCCAGGTGGGAGAGGTGGGAGGGTAGCGCACCAGCATCACCAGCCAGGGCAGCAGGGCTGAGCCGCGGGTGTCCATCTGGCCCTGGGCTTTGGTCCACAGGCTCATCCAGGCTGTCGTCATCCATTGCTGGACATTGGAGTTCAGCTCTGAAAGAAACCATAATCAAATGATTCCCAACTGTCCCAGGCTGCAAAGCTCTCCAAAGACTGATGGTCATTCTCTACACGTCACACATCCCTGGTGACATGTGTCCACCTGCTGGACAAGGAGGCTGAGCCAGGAGATACAGCACATTTGAGACATCTCACCCACAGTGCTGCACACACGCATGCAGGCAGACCTCGGACCCTATCTGCACAAAGCCACACCTCAGTTTACAAGCCTAATTTAGTCTCAGACTGGCGGCATATTTGCTCCACTGGGCATCTGTGACGCCCAGATAACCCTGAGGAATCCCAATGACAGGGAAGGATGAAATGGGGGCAGGCACCAAAAGGGTTCTCCCTGCACTCCCCTGGAACGCCACTGTCATCCAGCACAGCCTCCACTCCCCTGACCTGTGGGAGGCCAAGAGCTGTGGCTGAGGCTCCACTGACCTCACCCTGAGCCCTCCACAGGGTGCACACTCAGGCACCGCTGAGTCACTGTGACTGCCCAGGAACAGCACAGGCCCCAGGGAGCAGAGGTCAGGTTCTGCCTCTCAGCTGCCATGTTCACGTGCTCCTGGCTCCTGATTCCTATGTGGGGACACCTGTCCTGCCTACTGTGAGGATAATGCAGATCTAGACAAATGACCCCACAAATGTAGCCAAACCCAATCCTCCTCATACCCCAGGGCCTCCAATCTTGGTTGCCAAATAAGGGTTCCCTTCTCATTAGAGCTACTCACCTCACTCCCAGGCGACCTGCAGAGGAAAGACCTCTCACAGGGAGCCATGCGGTGACCCAATGAGACACAGTGGAGAAAGCCCCCCCATGGCACCATGCTTCTAAAGTCCAGTCTCTGTGGTCAGAGGAAAGGAGGTAAATGAGAGACGGGAACACAGGAGGCAAAGCAAGAATCCGGGGAAGGCAGTTAGGCTGGAAGCAGCCCAGGAGCCAGGCGAGCCCAGGATCACTCCTGGATCCACAGTAGGCTTCCTTCCCATGGGTCATGTGCTACCACCAGGAGCTGCACATGGGGAGGGACTATCACCACCACCATGCAGTCGCACCCAGGGAATAAATCCGAAGCGGCCAAGGCCAGATTCAGACCCCTGGCGGCTTACTTCCCCTACAAAGCACCAGATTCTAGGATGCTGTTTGCCAAAACAGCAAGGGCCTGTTAATTTGATGAGACTGTCACCTGTCATGCGTTGCTCCTGCCTGGAAACAGTAAACTGAGAGGTGGCTTTGTGGAACTATCAGCCCTCTGTGCCCATGGCAGGCATGGCCCCACCCTTAACTAAGGGTCTGCTCCCCCACTGCCCGGTGACTCAGCAATGCAGCAGGGAACCCATCTGTCCCCCTGGAGTCCTGGCCACGACTTCTGCTGGACAGACTGGTGGGTTAACAGACCTGCAGCCCGTCCAGGAGGATAGCCCCTCTCCCCTGGGTACAATGGCTGCAGCACTTAGGGAAGAGGTTGTAGGGCTCTTTGGCCACAGCTGTGACCATTCCCACACTGGACTCTACCATGTCACCCTGGAATGACAATACCTGCCCTGCCCCACTGGGTACAGCACCACTTCTGCCCTGGAGAAACAACAGCCTGTGAGCGAGGCACACACTCACACACACGAACCTCCAAGGAACATTGCAGACAGCCAAACACAGAAACCGGGATGCTGCCAAGCAGATTCCAGGCACAGAGGGGACAGTCCTGAGGTGCAAGTCCTCTCCTTGGTGATATGCTTCCCATGCACAAGGTCAAAGGTATGAACAAATAGCCTCTTGCTTCTTACTTGAGGCATTGTGGCCTGGGAAGCCCATAGGAGGAAGGGCCTGCCTCAGAGGGCTGGAGATCAGAGGCCGTGATGGGGTTCATAACACAGGGCCTTGCCAGAAATACTAGCTCAGGAATGAGGCTCAGCTCCTTAAGTCCCTGAACCGGTGTGGTTCAGCCACAGGCCTTGTGCACCCCCAGCAAAGCTGATGAGGAAAACCTCCAAAGGCCTCCTCATGCCCCTCTACAAGGGCCGCAGGAAAGCTCCACCTACACAGCCTGCCTGCATCATCACGCAAGTCACTCTGGCAGCACCCGGGAAAAGAACCTAGGTAGTCTCCGAAAGACCTTTCCAGAGCAAGTACCTGTGCAACACCAAATGGAGCCCGCAGTTGGCACTCCACCACCCTTTCCCTGTCAGGAGCACAGCAGTTGGAATGCTGGGCTAATGGGACCCCTACTGGCCCTACCAGCAGCCTCAGATCAGACATGCCTGCCCAGTCACCATCCCCACCTCTGCCTGGATGTTCGAGTCAACAGGCCAGGAAGCCATCTCTGCAGGAGAGCCCACTGCCCCTCCCAACTGCTGGTCACAATGCTGGCAGTGCTCTGTCTGTGGCTCTTCTGCTCAGCCTCCAGATTTGGGAGGATTAGGGGAAAAACTTAAACCAAAAGGAGTATTTCCCTCTTTTGAATGCAGGGACCAAAAACACAGCAACTCCAACCATTCATTACTAAGGAACCAAAAGAACTTCTGTTGTGGCACCTGGAAACAGTGCCAGGCGAGCACTGCCCCACACCTCACACTGGCCAGTGTCAACATTCTCCACTCCCGTCAGCCAGAGGCTACGAGGCCCTGAAACTAAAGTGCAACGGAATCAGAAAGATAGGGCTCATCAAGGGTAGTACTGCCATTCGTACTGGTTCTTATTCAGAGAACAAGTGATTATGCCTCCTTCACATGGTCAGGATACCACGGCCGTCCAACGGGAGGCTCTCTTTAGGGGAGAGGCAGCCACCAAATGTCCGCACTGGGGGCTGCAGAGAGGACTAATCCAGACTCACCCTGTAGGGACCTTGCCACCAGCCTGGTGCAAAGAGCACATTGGAAGATTCCAGCTACTGTTATTCTGACTCAACTTTCTTCCTGGAAGACAAAACCCCAAGGAGTCCAGAGACAGAGAAAGGTGTGCTGTGTCTCAAGTCAAACCTCACCTGGCCTCAGGTTCTGTCCAGGTGACCACTGGACAAAATGTGGCTCACCAAAACAGCAAGGGCCTGTTAATTTATGAGCATCCTGCTGTTGTAGACACAAGAAAAGTACATAAACCCCAAAGCTGACAACGGTGTAAACCAACTTTCTTACAGAAAAGAGTGAACCAGGAGTCACTGCCCGGGCGCCGCACTCAGTAGCTGTCTGACACTTGTCAAGTTACTTAACGTCTCTGGATTCCAACACGTTCATCTGCAAAGTAGGAAATACAGTATCTACTCCTGAGGCACTGTTGTGAAGACTACATGAGTTGACAGGAAACCATCCAATCAACCATTCAGGCCTGCGGGAACGTAGACGGAACCGAAGAAAACAACGATGACCGGGAGCTGGAAACGAGTTAGCGAAGGGTCACGCCTCGCTTAGCGCGGCGAGAGCGACCGCGCAAGTGGTGGAGCGCTTCAGGACGAGGCGGGCTCCCTGCGGTCGGGGACAGAGAGGCGGCCATCCCGGAAGCCGGTGTGCGGGGCAAGGGGCCTCCCAGCCTCGGCGCGGGTACCTGCGCTCGCCCGCCCGGGGCCCCTGCCGCCGTCATCTGGGCTCCAGCCACCGCGCGGCCCCCCTGTCCGGGCCGCGGCGCAGCGCAGGCCTCGCACTCGCGGCAGGCGGCAGACAAAGCGCGCGGCGCCTGGGAATGGCCGCGAGGACCGGGAGAAGCAAGCATCCCGAGGCCGCCGCGGCCCCCGCACGTACCCGGAAGCCTCGCGCTCCGCCTGCCGCTCCCGGGCGCTCGCCGCCGCCGCCGCCGCCCGAGGGACAGCTAGGATTAGGACAGGCCGCAGCCGCCGCCGCGCGCTCCTCGACCCGGAAGTGCACATTACCAGCTTCCGGGACCCTCCAACCCCGCCCATTGGATGGAACCACAGGATCAGGGTGGGGAAGAAGGTCCCAAAGTGGAGGAAGGCGCCACTCCCCGGAGCCCGAGGCCTCGAGGCGTCGGAAACATTGGTTAATGCTCTGTCGCCTCCCCGGAAGACCAGATCCCTGGAATAACTTGTGGTGTTTAAGCCCCAGCTGTGGCTGCTCCGGGCAGTCCTCCCCCTCCTGGGACATGGCTTAGCCCAACACTAGCCCGCCGTCTAGGGCGAATGGGAGCGAACTCCCGGCACACCTGGGACCAGTCCTCAGCCAGGGCCCCGCCCTCGAGCGCGAGATGCTGTAGTGCGCGCGCGGCCGCGGAGAACAAGGCTGCGACGGTCTTGCGGCGCTTCTGGGACAGCAACCTTGAGCCCTCCATTCATGGGTGAACTAAACCGTGATTAAGGGCGCGGCGGTACGAGACCCCATCCCGGGTCCAGTCTGGTCCAGACACGCAGGGCACAGGATCATTGTACATCTCTGCACCGCGCATTGCTATGCTAAAGAATGAAGCTGGTTAGAATCCGGGGCTCGGGAGCCTTGGGAGGACCCGCCAGTGTTAGTTGGTGGGGACAAACCTGGCGGAAACGAGGAGCCACCCGCCCGTGGAAAGGGGGCCAGTGTGGTTGGGTCCAGTGCTGGGAGTGGTCAGAGGCTCCGGGAGCGCTGGGGGTCTTGACATGCTCTGGCTGACAGAATACCTCTGGCGGCTGGCTGGAACAGACTAGAACAGCGAGGCAGACGTCCGGAAGCCGCATTGTCACAATAAATATATGCACTCAAGATGAGATACGAAGTCCAATTCCTCAGCAGGCATCCTTTGTCAGGCATAACTTACCCATCCATGCTAACCTGTGCTCAGATGTGAGATGTACCCTCAGGGAACTGCCCAGAGCCACTGGTCTGAGCCCAAACTGAGCTTAGGTACAGCATCTTGAGAACATAGGCACGTATCTATACATCCCACATACTGATGCCATTCATCCCTGTGCTGACACATATAACTCACCCCCATCAGTACTGTCACTTCTGGTGTACTCTGACCAGCCACTCACCAATTTATTACCTCTCACATGCCCATGCCAAGCAAGGATGTGGTGTGGACCCTGCCTACATGTGCCTCACAGACCTGCACTCTGAAGCCCTTGCTGGGTTCCTGGCGTGTGCTGGCTTGCCCTGCTCCTGCCCCAGGCAGGCACTGGCAGGCACAGACGGGGTGGAGCTGTTCTGTCCATCCCAGGCCAGCCCTTTCCCTTGCCATCAGGCCTGCATGCACACACAGGCCAGAGCCAGGGGGAGGAAACAGCAGGGCTGTGTTCCCTGAATGAAAGAGGTGAGTGTATTAGTGCTCTGGGGCTACTGCAACAAATGACCATAGAGTAGGTGGCTTAAGACAACAAAAATTTATTCTTTCACAGTCCTAGAAGTCAGAAGTCCAAGATAAGGTTGGCAGCCATGCTCCCTCTGAAATTTGTAAAGAGAATCCTTTCCTGCCACTTTCAGTTTTTGGTGCTCCAGGCATCCTGGGCTTGTGGCCACATCACCCCAATCCCTACCTGTCTTCACATGGCCTTCTCCCTGTATGTCTGTATCTCATAAGTATGCTTGTCACTAGATTTAGGGCCCACCCTGGTAGTCCAGGATGATCTCAAGACCCTTAAGCTAATTACAGCAAGCAAAGACCCTTTTCCCAACTAAGGTATCCTTTACAGAGGCTAGGCATTAGGATATGGGATATGACATATCTTTTTGAGTGACCAACATTCAGCCTACTACAGGGAGTGTAAAGGGTTCCTTTGGAATCACCAAGACTGGGGGGAGTAGCTCAGGGTCATGCAGTAGGGCAAAACAAGACCTCAGAGTCACCTTGACTTTTGGCCACTCCCTGTCACCGAATCACAGGCTTCTTCCCTCCAAATGTTTGCCTTGTTTGCCCATCCCCAGTCATGCGCTGTCCTGAAGGTGTGGGCCTCTCTAGGACCCCACAGATTCCTAAGGGTTCCTTCAAGACCCACACCATCCAGGCCTTGCTGGCCCACTTCTGACCCTGAGAACTGAGCTGGCACCTCCATCCTCTGTGTTTTCTCCACTCACAGCTGGCCACAGCCACAACACCCTACACTTGAATTTCTGTCCCCAGGCCTCACACTCCTGAGATCTCAGGCAGGGTCAGAGCCCCCTGGAGCCCCAGCACTTAGCCACCCAGGCAACAGGTTTGAATGTAGAAATGAAGTGGCCACGATGGTGGGAGGGGTGCAGGGGGGGCCTGTCCTGGGTTGTGGCTGCTGGTGGGCTCCAGCCCAGGTGAGTGTTGGATGCAGGAAGTCACTGGGGGCAGGGAGGACAGGGAGCAGGTGGTGAGTTGGGGACAGGAGGGCTGCAGGAGTAGCTAGCTGAGGCTGACGTGGCATGGCCACTGGGCCAAGGAGCAGTGTGGCAGTCGGGGGCAGAGAGGCCCCCAGGAACTGCCTGGAGCCAGGAGAGTGGGGTCCTGTGGCAGGCCAGGCTCTGAGGCAGGTGGGGACTTTGGTTGATTTGAGGGAGGTGAGGGAAAGAGGGGCTCTCTTGCTTACCTTGGAGGGAGCACGGAGGACTTATGAGGACCCTTGTGTACAGAACAAAGGAAGAGCAGGCACCTCTCTGCCCGATTAGGGGTCCGCAGATGACCCACGATTCTACCTCCCCCCTAGTTTGTGAAGGAGGGGAGGGGCGTGTAGAGGTGAGGGGACAAGGGCCAAGGCTCCCTTAGCTGCCCTCTGGGGCTACACCCAGGAGCGGATAAGGTCAGGTCTGAAACAGTCCACTTTCTTGATTTATACCTTTTCAACGCCCAGACAGGACGCCGCAAAGGAGGGGCACGCCGCCGAGGGCCTGCACCCGCATGGTGCCCACCCCGGACTCGGACTCCGAGCCTTTTGCGGCCTCCGGTGTCCCTCCCGCGAGCCAGCGCGCCCGACTGGGCGCGGGCGGCACGTGAGCCCGAGGGCGCGGCCACCTCCGTGCTCCCGAGCTCGCCGGCTCCGGCTCCCGCAGGGTGTCCACTGGGGCCGTAACACACCGCGGGCCGTGGGGGAGGCCGAGCGCTTGCAGGCCCCGCCCGGCAGGTGGCGGCCCCGCCCCGAGGCCGACGTGCGGAAAAGAACGCGCCGGCCGCGCCCGCGGGGGGGCTGCGCGGCTGGGGGCGTGGTGCCCCGCCCCCACCTCGCGCCCACTGGCTGCAGCGCGGCAGGGCGGGCCCGCCCCGGCCGACCATTGGCTGCGGGGTCCCCGTATTTGCATTCGGGCCGGGTGAGGGCGCGGGACGCGGGGCGGTCGGGGCAGGCGGGGGCGTCAGGGGCCGCGGCTGCCGCGGAAGTTGGTCCGAGAGCCGGCGACGGCCCCGCGCCGGGGTCGCAGGTGACGCGCAAGGGGTCCTAGGCCGGCGGGCGGGAGCGGGGGCTGGGGCCGGGCAAGGGTGGCGAGGTTCGGACGTCCAAGTTAGAGGGGAGAGAGGGGTCGAGGTGGGGGGCAACCCCACCACCCGCCCGCCGGTCCCTCCAGGCGCAGGGCAGCCACTGCCCACCGCACACTGCGATGCTCCGGACCCACTGTGCGTGTGACAGCGGCTGATCTGTCCCTGGGCAGCGCGACCGCTTTGGCCTCTCTGTGACCCTGCTGTGTCGGACAGTGGGGTGCCACATCGGGTCGGAGGGCGCGCGCCAAGGTGGGGAGAGACCCCAGTGGACCGGGTCTGCCTGCCTGCAGCAGCAGGGGAGTGGGTGGAGGTAGAGGGGGACATGCAGAGGGCTTCACTGCCCTCTGTTCGTGGGGCTTAGGGGTGGGCCAGACGCCCTCTTGGAGGGAATTTTCTTTTCCTTGTGTGTCTCAGGGTGCCAGCGTGTGCATAGTTCCTCGGAGAGCCTTCTGGATGTGCCCAACCTGCAGGCAGCCCTGGGCAGGCCCATGTGTTGTGGTCAGCATTTCCTCCTCAGGACCAAGCCTCCGGGACTAGCTTCCCGAGGACCACCTCCGGGAACTTGCTTGAGGAAGATAGCGACAGATTCGGCTTTTCAGTGCATTTCTGGCACTTCAGCCGTGCCACTGAAGGGAGTCAGAATGCCGAGGACCCGTTTGTGGACTCCGGCAACGTGCTTCTCCCAACGGTGGGGGCACCTGGCAGAAGCCCCAGGCTGTCTGCCAGGCCTACCTTCCCTGCTGGGTTTCTCAAGTCCACCATGCAGACCTGCTGGCTGTGTCCAGAGTAGCCTCCAGGGCACCTCCTGCAGCGGGCCTGCCCTTTCCTGGGCAGTGGGGGTTGATGGCTGGAGCTGTGGCTGCAGTTGTCAGAGGCCTGCAGAGGTGGACTTAGTTGGGGACTTGAACGGATTTGGACTTCCCTTGGAGGGACCCTATCCTAACAGTTATTGTGGTGTGTTGTGCCACACCTAGCAGGCTGCCTTGGCAGGGCCAGGTCCTGCAGGTGATGAGGAGGCTGTGGGTGAACCTGCTATTTTCAACCAGCTCTAGAAAGCACTTCTGTGCCTCAGGAGAATAGGAATTCTGAGCATGATCCCCAAGCACTGCTGGCCCCCGCAGAGCGATCACTTATGCCAGTCCTGCCCATCTGGCCTGGGGTACGGCCTGGCTTGTCTCTGCCCTGCACTGCCTGGGCAGGACGTCTGGGGGCAGCCAGGCCGTTCCTTACCTCAGCATGCCTCATGCCATTGAAGATTTAACTGTACTTTGAAAACAAAGTAAACTTTTCAACAATGCAAAGGATTGTTTAGTGACCCAAAGCACTTCTGGCAACTTCCTGGGGGCATGGGGTTTTGCCCACTGGAACAGCCACAGAGGAAGGCTGTTCACCCCAGAATACAGTGGCTGCCTGAGGATCCACTCCAAAGTGAAGAGAGCTGTTAGCTTCCTCAGCCAACGGCAGACCAGGGGCAGAATCCTGGTTGTAGCTTCAGAAGGAACTGGTGTTCCCTGAAAATGGACACGGGAGACTCGGGTGCATGAGCCCTGCCAGCTCTGGGCCTGCTTCCCTTTGCAGGGTGGGGAAGTACATGACTCCAGTCCCATCCCATACTGTGTGTGTATAGGGTGGTCCCTGGAAGGCACCTGGATTTGCCCCCTGCTGGCCTATGTGCTCAGCTTGGGAGATGACCCCATGCTGGGACTCAGGGCTGGTGCCCCAAGGAACATCCATACGTGGGTGCTGCAGGTGAAGGGAGCAGGCCCTTTGGACTTGGTGGTGATTTTCCCTAGCCCCCAGCCCTCCCACCCACGGCACAGCCCAATCAGCCTTTGCATGCCAGGCTGCACCCTGTGTAACCCTGTGGGGGGCCCATATGGGGTCACAGGGCCTCCTGTGAGCTGGGCAGAGGGGTCAGACTGGGGGCTTTGCAGAGAGGAAGCCTGGGTCAGGTTCCTCTGACATCAGCCAGAAGCCTTCCACCGTGGCCTGGCCTGCTCCACCTTGGCGGGGTGCTCCTTACAAGCTGGGCCCTTGGCTTTCTTGCTCCCAACCCCCCCGGGCTCAGGGCTTCATGCCCCCCACAGCATGCCCCAAAGGCAGTGGGGAATACTGGGCCTGACTCAGCTACCTTGCAAGAAGGCAGAGTCCATCCCAAAGTTGCCCATACCCAAACTCAGCACAAAGACCCTCATGATCTTGGATGTCCCCAACCCCACTACCCATGGGTGCACCTGAGCCTCAGAGCACCCCAGACTCTGGCCATCACAAAGAGCACCAATCTCAGCAGTAGCCCTCTGGTGGGCACCTGAGGCCTGTCCCAGGACTAGGACTGCAATTGGACGTCACCCTGCCCTAGTTTCAAGGCTGCAGGTGTGCAGCAGAGCCCTCATGCCCATCTGGGGAGCGGAGGGCCATATTGGAAGGTAGGGTGGCTGCACGCTCACCTGACCTGCACTGTTCCTCAGGCAAAGCCCGGCTGACACAGGAATCTAGGGACTTGTCCCCATAAGCTCTCAGACTCAGTAAACCTGACAGGTGGGTCTGGCATGTCCTTGAGTCCACAAGTCCACAAGCCACCCCAGAGAGGGTGGCAGTTCCCGCTGCCAGTGAGCAATGGCCAAATGAGGGGAGCCAGGCAGGAGAGGGGTCCAAACAGAAACCCAGGCCAGGGCTGAGGCTGCCCCAGACTGTCCAACTCCAACCAGTCTTGGGCTGCCAAGGAGAGCCCCTGGGGGTAGGCGGGCACAGCATCCTGAAATATGAAGCCTTGAGAGCCCCAGCCTGGATACAATTGACCACTGGTTAGTCCCTGGGAAACCGTCTCAATAGCCCTGTCTATCTTCAGCCCCAGGCAGCTTAGTGCACTCCCCCGCAACTCTCAAGTTCTAGACGGCACAGACCCCAGTGCAGTCTCAGGACACACTCAGCCACTCTGGGCGGTTTATTGAGGTCTTAGTGTTGGGGCAGGGGAGGCAGCACACACACACAAGGTGAAAGACACATCCCACATGTGAGCACATACCCACAGGTCAAACACAGCATCTGTGCATCTCCTGTCCCCAGTAAGGAGCTGTAGTCTTTGGGTCCTAGCGAGTCTGAGCTGGCCATGTCACGTGCCTCTCCAGGGGGCTTGGCACACTTGGTGAGGACTGGGGTAAGAGTCCTCAGCTTATCCCTCTGCCCTGCAGAAAACCACAGGGCTCCACGGTGCTCTTCCTTGGGTCCAGGGCAGCCCACTGCGTGGGGAAGGAGCCTCCGTGACCACTGATTCTCCTTCCGTCATTCAGGCTGCGCTGGCCTCAGCTGCCTTGCCCATGTCGTCAGAGCCCAGGGCTGGGCTGGCAGTGGCGTCTACTTTGGGACAAGAGCTGCTACCTCCAGGAGTTCTTCCTCATGGGGACAACTGCGGGGAGGACACAAGCTGAGGAGGCTGTAGGAGCCACAGGAGGACCTTGTCCCACCCAGAGTGGGGGAGACAGACGTACTCTCTGAGCTTAGGCTGGACACTAGGGCTGAACTCGGGGGGGCTCCCATGAGGGGCTCTTCTCCGGTCAGAGGCAGAAGATCCTGTGGGGAGAGCATATCAGCTTGGAGCCTGGCCAAGCCCCCACCAACCTGGCCTACCTCTGGGATGCTCTGACCTGTGTGTCTGGCCGTGGGGGGTGCGGCACTGCAGCCCCGGTCTGCAGGATGAACTGCTGCAAGTTACACTGACGGAGCTCCCGGTTCAGCTCCTCAAGCTCCTGAGTCTGGGCCTGGGGCACACGGGACCCTCAGAGACCAACTCCCAAATCCACCAAGTTGGGGGAAATTGGCGCAGGGTCCATTGGGCTCACCTGCAAGGCATGCTCGGCAGCCTCTAGGGCTCTGGTCACCAGGGCCAGGCTGCCCTGCACCTCTTCACTCTGTCGCTCTTGGGTAGCCAGGTCCCGGCGCAGTCGTTCTGTGGCAGACGCTGTGGGTGAGGGTGGCCCTGGGGCCTCTGTGGCCAGATGTAGCTTGGCCTCCAGGGACCGGGCCTGGGCGTCCAGGGCCCGCAGCCTGGCAGCATGCTCCGCAGTGGCTGCACTCAGAGCCTGCAGGCGTGTCTGCCCCTCTCGCTCTCGCGCCTGTTCCCGCCGCAGCTCCTGTTCCCAGAAGGCTTCCTGGCCCAGTTCGGCTGCATTCCTGCGCACCCTTCTCTCTAGGCTCTGAAGGTCTGTGCAGTGGCCCAGTGCTGGTGCCATGGGGGCCACAGGCTCAGACAGAGTGGGACTGGGAGCCAGTCCAGGGCACCCCAGACTGAAGGTCAGTGCTTTCCGGGGCTCAAGGCCTAGTGCTGGTCGGCGCTTCGAAGGGAGGCTGGCGCGGATTGGGCAGCGTTCAGGTGGTGGGCAGCTGTCTGAGGAGGGCCTCCCAGCAAGGCTGGGCCCTGTCCGCCTCAGGACGAACTGGACATCGCTGGCAAACTGTCCACAGGTAGCCTGAGCACCCACCGGACACTCCTGGGGCAGCAGCTGCCGTTCCTTCTCCCTGAGACGCTGCACGAGCACAAATCGGCCTGTCTGGCCTGGGGCAGGAGGAGAGGGTCAGCTCACGTCCCCCCACCCTCCATCTACCTGGCTGGAGGAGTTGGGGGAGGGCAAGAGGGATCAGCAACCAGCTCCCCCTCTCTGGGGGCGGAAGAAGGGGCCAGAGGGCCCGGCCCCACCCCAGGTGCACCTATTGGGCAGTCTGTGCCTGAGGGAAACTCACCTATGGCTTGGGCTAGGGCGATGACCACTTCCTGACAGGTGGTCTGCTCTGACACCCCACAGACCACGCGCTGGACGCCATCCACCCACACCTTCAGCTCCATTGCCGGGAGCTCAGAGAGCATACCTGCCCGCAGGGAGGGTGAAGCCACAGGGTCACTGACCAACAGCCTGGCCTGCCTGTCACTCCCGGGACTAGTTCAGGGCTGCCACCCCTCAAGGTCAGCCCTGCTCTCCTGTGCTCAGCCCCACCCACCGGACTGAGTACATTCCTGGGCGGGGGTTCAAGACCAGCCTCCTAAAGGGGGAACCGGTCTGCCCTCCTGGAGCATTTTGAGGCTTCCCAGCCTCCTCTTGTCCCGCCCTGCTCCCGGAACAAAGCGAATCATTAATCAGACCCAGGACTTCCTGCCCTCTACCGCTTCCCTCCACCCCGCCCCCGCGCGTCACCTGGTGCACAGGGCAAAGCCCCACCCGCGAGCACCGTCCTCAGGCACCTAAGGGCGACCGCACGCAGACGCGGCTCCCCGCTGCCATGGGAATGCCCCCTCCCCTGAGACTCAGACCTCGCACCCGCCGTCCCAGCCGGCGCGGACTGCACCTCCCCGCGTCCGCCCGCTGTCCCCGCCGCCGGGTGGGCGCAGGTGTGGCGGCCCGGGCCGTGCCCCTCCGTCGGAGCCGCGGCCAGAGGCGGCTTGGGGACGAGCCCCGTACTCAGGAGGCTCCGGGACCCGGCGCGGCTCACCTGAGCGTTCTCCGACCTCCAGGACGCGGACTCGGACCAGCTGCTCCCGAGGCCCAGCGGGGCTGCAACCTGCCTCCTCCAGCACAGCGCGTACGCCCGGCCCACCGCTCCATTGGCCCACCGCCCGCGCGCCCCCATTGGCCCCACGGCGCACACCGCCCGCCCCTCGCCTACGCCCATTGGCTACCTTCCCTGCGCCCCGCCCATTAAGCTCCAGCACGCCCCGCCGCAGACAGCGCCCAGGTGTGGGCGGGGCTCGGTGGCGCGGAGGGTTGGCCAGGTCCACGCGCGCCTAAAGCCCGCGAATAACGCGGAAGCGCGTCTCCCGCAGGCTGCGGCAGGCGGCGCGTGGAGCAGGTGTCTGTCACTGCTCCAGGGCCGACTTCCTCAGAGGCCGCCTAGCCTGACGAGTCTCCCACCTAAGGGGGGGGCACTAGCCTGGGGCCCTGCAACCCACGCCTGCGACCAAAGGCCCTTGGCGGTTGTCTCTGGCCAACGGGTCTGGGACTATGAGCCCCACGCGGGAGAGTAGCGGAGCTGCCGGGCCGCTGGCACCCTGGCGGCAATCAGGCTCAGTCCTGGTCAGAGAGATTCTGCCCTGAGATTGCTGGGGACAATGGCTCCGGACTCTATGCGGCTCCATCCACTGACCCCCTTCCTGTCCCCAGTGGGACCCAGCTCCCTTCCGAGCTGTGGACACATTCGTCAGCCTGACCAGTCCTGCTGTCCAGCCCCAAGAACCCAAGGCAGTTCAGCAGCCAGGGCACTGGGCTCATGCTCTGCCCCAGCTGGGTTGGGCCCCTGGCTGATCTTCCCACCAGCCTATTTCCTGTCCATGGCAGGACGCCCTGCATGAGCAAAAGCTGAAAGTCAGAATGAATGAATGATGAACAAATGAAGGTGGGGAAGGAAAGGCTGGGGAACATGAGTCTATTGGGTCACGTCTGAATCTCCCGGGGCAGAGGGAACAGTTGTCATGGTTATAGGAATGTCTCCAAGGCAATCTGAGGTGGTCCCAAGTGATAGAAGGGCTGGGGGAAGGTGAAGCTTCTGGCTTGGGGATTACGCAGGGGGGCATCAGCCTCTGGAGGGAGCCCAGTGCTGGTTCGTTGAGCAAGTCCTCCCCCAGCTTCTCAGAACTATCCCTGGCTTCCTCTTTCCCCTCCCCAGTCAGCTTGGGGCCCCGTGAGGTCCACATTCTCAGGAGTGAAGTACTGCTGGCCTATAGACACACTCATAAGGCAGCAAATTCCCCCAATACTCACCAATCGCCACCGTCAGGCTGGGGAGGGGTGGTGGGAGCCTTCCTCAGGGTTGGCTGGGGGTGTTTTACAGAGTGGGAGACCATGGCTGGTCCTGCGGTCACTCTGTGGTCCCCAGTTTTGCTGAGGCTAGCTGGATGGCAGGTCTGCCTCGCACAGCTTCTTCAGGTTGGACCAGGACGTGGACCTAGGTTCCACTTAGGGACCTGGGGTGGAGTCCCCCAGGAGGCTCCTGGTAACAAACAAGCCCCTCCCTTTCTGAGTGCTGGTATCCATGGCAACATTATAGAGCGTTCTGTTCCCAGGCCTGCTTGGATTTCAGGCTTCAGGTGAGTGTTGGAGGTAGGGTCTTGGTCTGGGGCAACGCAGGCATCAACAGCAAAGGACCAGCACTTCTGGGGACCCTAGCTCTAGGCTGTAGGGCAGGACCACAGGTCCTGGAGGGCAAGGGTGATGGAGGAGACACCAGGGAATGTGTGACACCACGTGATCTGGTGTCCTGTAGGGAAGACAACACACACACACACACTGGCCTCCTTAGACAGTGATGCTCTGTGAACCAGTGGGGCTGTGAGACACACATATGTGCACGTGTCCAAGTAAGGAGAGCCCACAGGGTGCCCTGCCACCCCTCTCAGCCCACCGAGAATATCAAGAATGTTCCCTGAGCCTCGCCAGGAGGCTCTGTCACCCCAAGAGCCAGTCAGTGGCCACCTGGGGCCTCCAGCTGGCACACCTGAAGACCTGGTGGCTCCTGAGTGCCCACAAGACACCAAGCCCAGCTCCACACGGGTAGTCTTCTCTGACAACCGATGGTAAGGAGGGGACGGAGAGGCAGCCAGCTATGTGGGCCAGGTCGGCCAGAGGGCAGGGCCTAATCAGGTGGCTGGGCCACTGGTGTTACAGGTCAGTCCCTGAGTCCCTGGACCCCTGCACCCTGCGGCTGCTGTGGGGGCAGCGGGAACTGGAGATCCAGGCCCTGAGGTGGGCCATTCAGAACCGTCAGGATGCCCGGCACTGCCACATCTTGCAAGAGGTGGCCGGGCTTCCACCTGAGAGGTCAGCAGGAAAGTGCTGGGGCCCCAGCTCAGCCAGCCCGTCCTGGCCCTAACTCCTGGTTTTTGTCAGACTCGGACCTCAACCCCAACCACTAAGCCTGACCAAGACTCCAACCCCAACTCAGCCCTGACCCTTACCCTGACCTTTGCCTCTAACCCTCGTCCTCACCTGACTGATCCCTCACCCTAACCCTGAACACATTGATGGGTGCTGAAGCAAACCTAGGCCCCACTTCCGACCTCTCAGAACCTGACCTGGCTGGCTCAGCCACACTCTGTGTACTTGGGCCCCTCATGGCAATGAAGAGGATCCCCTCCTTCTCCCCTCCTTGGCTGCTGACCCACAGGTGGGGGCTGCTGAGATTGCCCCTTCCCCCAGGAGCTCACACAGTCAGGAAAAGGTCCTGCAGCACCAGGTCCAGAAGCTGACTCTGGAATTGAAAGAGCAGAAGGAAAAGGCCCAGTTGGTGAGGGGCAGATGGGACAGGGAGCTGGGAAGGGGATCTGAGCTAGGGTGAGGCTGGGTGGCCAGGCAGGGGTTGGCCTGGGGGAATGGGGTCTGGGGAAGGCCCCACCCATCTCTGAGCCTTCTGGGAGCAGGAAAAGGCACAGCTGGAGGAACGGCTGCTACAGACCCTGAACACACGGCAGCAGCTGGAGGCCGAGCTGCAGGCCTTCCAGAAATCCTGCCTCCTGCAGCTGGCTCGCTCCTCCTGGGTGGGCCGCATGCTTCGGTCTTCGACTGGCAGTGTGGAGGTGAGCCTGTGCCCTGGGGATCTCCTTGCTTGGCCTGCCCTCCTGCTTCTCTGGACTGCCCTCAGACAGCCAGGATGCCCTGTCCAGGCCAATGCTTCTGCTGGGGGTCCTTGGCCTGCCTGGAAGCTTGCCCCCATCACACTGCCTCTAGAACTGTGGCCTGGGACAGGGAGGAGCCATGAGCCCTGTGGTCCCCCCTGCCTCACACTCAGCAAGTGTGTGCCTCAGGTGCTGGTGAGGTCAAAGGGGAGGAGTGCCCTTCCCCACAGCCCCTGCCTACTACCTCTGCTCTCCTTTTGCAGGTAGTGACCGCAGAAACCCTGATGGACTCCAGTGATGTCTCTGAGAACGATCAGGGCTCCACTGCTGGGGAGGTAAGCAAGGCCCCCCACATGCACGAACAGCTCTGCAGCCCTGCAGGATGGGAGGGCTACATGCTTGTTGCTTCCTGGCCAGGGTTTCCGGCTGGAGGATGTAGACTGGAACAGCATCGCCCATCGATATCCCAACCTCTTCACCAAGATCAAGTCCTATGCAGACCAAGAGTAACCACTGGGCAGGGATTCCCCATGGGGGAGAGGAGGGGGTCTTGCCCTGGCAGGCATGGACCAGAGTCCAATCTCTACCTTTTGGTGTTCCTAGACAAGCCATTTATACTTTCCAAGTGTCAGTTCTCTCATCTGTAGGACAGCGTTGGGGATCAAGGGAGAAGGTTCCTGGAACATCTCTGTCCTGCCATTAGCCCCTGTCCCAGGCTGAGTCCCAGCAACCCAACTTGGGGTGCCCTGGAGGCTGAATGGGGGCAGGGTTGGGGTCCAGGAGCTCAAGCCCAGCAAGGAATGAGCATATAGTGGCCCACAGGCACCCCCTGCCCCCAAAGGCCCCAATGCCTGGCGAGTGGGGCTCTGAGTTGCACAGACGGCGCATGAAGCAGAGTCTCAAGAGCATTGAGTGGAGCTCCCTGCCCTTGGGCACCAGCAGCTCTGGGGGCTCCAACTCCAATTCCAGCAGCTGCCAGCTCACCAATCCTTATACGGTGCAGAGGGTGACAGGGCACCCACCCTCCCCGCCAAGCTTAACTTCCTCTGAGAAGACGGAGGTGCCAGCAGGGAGCCTCAGCAAGGATGCCCAGGCAGAGCCTGAAGGTGGAGTGGGGCAGGTCTCCCTTGGTCGCCATTCCCTCTCATCTCTACGGGGTTATAATTTCTGCCCAGAGCACTGATAGACGTCCCCAACCACCTGGCCTTCACAGCAGCCCAGAATGAGGCCACTGGGTTAGGGTGGTCCTGGAGGACTCCTGCTACTGCCTCCCTAGTCTGGCTCACACACACACATTCACCCACAGGCACACACAAGTACTGTGAGCTCCCCCTCTGCTCCCCAAGGTCCAGCCAAACCTCCTGCCCAATCTGACCCCTGGCGCTGCTTCTCTCTCACATGGACCCTCAGGGCTCTGCAGGGCGGGTCCGGTCTTGCAGATGTCCCAGTGGACGCTCCATATGGGGGCCCCCTCCTGGACAGGCCTCCTCTCCCTGGATCCCCGTAAAACCCACTCGCACTGGGGAGGAAAGACAGTTCAGGCACCCAAGGCCTGTGCAGATCCCGAACACTGGCATCCCGGGCACTGTTGGAGGTGAGGGGTGACCCGGCAGGAACGGGGCTCCTAGCAGGACTGGCACAGGCGGGGCCCAAGTGTCCACTCACAGCCCTTCCCTGCCCGCTCCCGCTCCTGCCCCAGCCCGACCGGCTCCTGCCTGAAGATCGTGGCCGTGAGCCGCCGCGGCAGGTTCGTCCGCATCCTCAACCAGTCGCCGGAGGAGACTGCCGAGCTGAGCGGCCTCGTGCTGCAGCAGCTCGTGCGCGGCTTCCCGGAGCGCACGTACCGCTTCCCGCCCGGCACGCGGCTGGGGCCGCGGCAGCTCGTCACGGTGCGCCCTGCCCCGCCGCTCCGCCCCCCGGTCTCAAGTCCGGATGCCCCCCGCCCCTCACTCTCCCGCCTCCCGTGCCCTCCCCAGGTGTGGGGCGAGGGGCGCTGCGGCTCCCAGGGGGCGCCGCCCTCGTCCTTGGGCCGAGAGCCCGTCCGCTTCCACTCCAGCCCGGGCTGCGTGACTCTCCTCCTGAACCCCAAGGGCGAGGTCAGTGAGGGTACCCCCGGGGGTCGGGCCTCTGGGATGAGGGTGACCGCAGCGCGCCCCGGCCCCGCAGACCCTCAGCGAGCACCAGGCCCCGCACACCGTGGCCCCCGCCTCGAGGCTCTTCTCTGACGACACCGACTCGTCCACCGACTGCTTCCCGCTCTCGGAGGCCCAGTCCCAGGCCGACAGCAGCGAACAGCCGCACCGCCCTCGACCTCCGCGCGCCGGTCGGCTGAGGGAGGCCCGGGCCGGACGCCGGAGGCTGGGGTGAGCATCGCGGGTCCCTGGGCCTGAGCCCCTCCCCAGGACCCGCCCCAGCAAAAACCGTCCCCCTCGGCTGGCCCCAAGTCAGAGCCCGTCCCCTCCAGGGCAGATTCCCAATGATGCAGGATCCCCCCAGGCACCCCCGCTCCCCAGGCTACATTCTCGCCAGGGCCGCCCCCTTCGCGGGCGGGTTCCGGCCCTCACGATCTCCTCGCTCCGCCAGGACGAGGGGCCTCTTGCCCTGCCTGACCACCGGCGAGCACCTCCTCCCGCGGGAGGGGCCGGCGCGGTCCGAAGGTGCCGACACCGGCCCTCCGGAGCGGCTGCCCACCGTCCTGGGTGCGAGGATGCCGGCTCGCGGAGGGAGGGGCGGGCCGGCAGGGAGCGGGCAGCTGGGCCGGCCCGCCCCTACCCCACCGCGGTCCCACGCAGAGGCCGCGCTGGGCCTCCGGGACGGGCAGGCTGGGAACCAGCCCAGAGTGAGGGTGAGCGCGCACGTGCTGGGAGTCCCGGACAGCCCCGCCCCCTCCGGGCCCCGCCCCTCCGGGCCCCGCGCCCCCGGCTCCTCCCTCCGCCTCCGCCCCTCCTTCCTCCCCGCCCCTTCCCCTCCAGGCTCCTCCCTCCAGGCTTCTCTCCTCGACCCCCGACCCCTTCCCGCCCCGCTCCTTCCTCCTGCCCCGCCCCGCCCCGCCCCGCGCGCTTCTCAGGCCCTGCCCCCCAGGTGTGCCGGAGGAGCGTGGACAGGTGCTGCCCCATGGTGGCGCTGTCGGTGCAGAGCACGGCTGAGAGCAGATTTGGCTTCCGCTTCCTCAGCTGCCCGCCCATCACGGCGGACGCGCGTTGGCAGGTGTAAGGAGCGCGCAGGCCCTGAAGGGTCGAGGGGAGAAAGCGGGGGGCAGGAGGGCATGCGGAAGCCGGCCGTGCCAGATGCGTGTTTTATTGAACCAACGTTTCCTACCAAGTAAACCGCATTTCTGTACACGTGAGAGCTGAAAATCATTCACTTGGGTCCCAAAATCCTGCCCCAAGAAGGGGGACTGGCCGCCCCACCCCCTCAGGGGAACCCCTCAAGCCCACCAGGGGTGGGAGGCCTGGTGGCTGTGTTCTGGGGCAGCAAGGGCCTGCCGGGGAGTGAACGGGCCAGTTCTGGCCACTTTGGCCTGGGAACATCTGCAGCTCTTGACAGCAGGCCCTTCTGTCTACTGCTGGGAAGGTCAGGCCACAGGAGGGAGCAGGCACCTGGACCAAAGGGAGGGACCTGGGCCATCCTGTCCTGAGCTCGGGAAGTGCCAACCCCCACTACTCTAGTCCCTTTTCTGTGTCGGGCCCACTTCCCGCCCCCAAACACACCCTGCCAGTTCTCCTGTATCTGGGGCCAGAATTCACATGGGGCTCCCATGACCACACTGGGGTCCTGTGGCCACAGTTCAGGCCAGCTCAACAGTGGGTGGGGGCTTACACTAGGGGTGGAACTGGGCTGGGGTGATGGGGCTCAGGTGTGGCCTGCCCTGGAGGCCTGGGGGTCTCACTACTGGACCTGGGGCTGGCATTAGGCCTGGACATCCCTGGGCTTGAGGGCTGGGACCTGCAGCCGCCGCCAGGGCTTTGAGAGCAGTCACTGCAGCCAGCCCCTGACCCAGGCCAGGCTTCAAGCTGCCCAGGGCTCTGAGCCGTCGCCCCCGGAACTGAAGGTCTGTGGACCACCAGGAGCCACTGTCTGACTCAGGTGGCCTGGGGAGCTTGTGGGGAGGAGGGAGCAGCACATAGCCCGAGGTCCTGGAAGGCTCTGGAAAGGAGGAAGGAGATGGCCTGTCAGGCAGGGAGGCCCATAGAGTCAGAAGGTGGTTGGGGGGTGACCACAAGCAGGGCTGCTGTGCTCACTGTACCATCCCCCCAAGGCAGTAGCCTTTTCCCATGATGCCCCAGGGAAGCCCTGGTCTCAGCCGTATGACCTCTGCTCATTGCTTGGGCTGGGTCCTCCTCTGCGGTGGCAGAGACCACAAGCCTGGGCTCTGGCATTGTCACTGGGTCCCGTCACCTGGACCGGTCCCTAAACCTCTGCTCTAGAGTGAGGCCCTGGCACCTGCCTTGGAGTAGACTGGGCCACAGTCACCCAGTGCCCACCTGGACACAGCCTGGAGTGGGAGGCACCCTTTTGTCCCCAAGTCCCTCTCATCTGTCACCTCTCCAGCCATTCCTCCTGGCTGCACTGTTTGCTCCCTCTCCACCCTCCGCTAGCTGGTCCCAGAACCACCTGCTCCAACCCCTCCTCCCAAGCACAGCCAGCTCACAGGAGGGCAGAGGCTTGGTCTGCCTTGTCCCTGTCCATCCCCCTTGGTGCTGCCTTCCCTACCCCCACAGAAAGGTCATCGGCCAACCTTCAAGCCTGTGCTCCTGCCGCCCCTGCTTGTAATGCATCCCCCAAGGCTTGCCCACCCAGCTGTTACCCCAGTCGGCTCAGACCCTTCCTCCAGGAAGCCACCTCGGGCCCTGCTGGGTGAGTGGTCTCTGCCTGGAAGCCCCTGCATTGGTCCACTTGGCCATGGTCAGTCTGAAGCCAGTATGCCTCCAGGAGGGCCTTGCCATGCCCAGTTCTGTGTCCTGAGCCCAGCACCAGCCCTGCCTGTGGGGCAACACCCACCTTGGCCTCTCATCTTTCTCTGGCCTTGTACCATGCTCCTGTCAGAACTGCCCAGTGGGCCTGTCTTGCGTTTGGGTTCTGGCCCCTCCCTGCCCCCCAGGGCTGCTCGCTCCCAGCTTGGACCTCTCCGCCCTCCTCCTTCACGGCCCTTTGCTGGAGTGCCTTCTCTCTCAAGCATCCAGCCCCAGTGGCCTCATGTCCCATATCTCAGGAGAGGACTTGGGATTGGAACCCACCCCCAGGACAGGACCTACCAGTGCCGCTCGGGACCCAGCTGCTCTGAGGCAGGGGGTCACTCTCAGTACCTGAAACCAGGCTCAGGGGGATCTGGGGGATGTTGGGCACAGCCTTGCCCTCTTGCTCTTCTGGGCCCCTCTGTGAGCCCCGGGGGGCTGCCATCCCTTCCTGCTGGGACTCCAGACACCTACTGGGGAAGAGTCCAGGTAGGGGTGGCCGCAGTCCTGTCCCCGCTTGGAGCCAATCCCAAAGGAGTGTGACTCTGGGATGTACCACTAGCCTTGGGTTTCCACAGCCAGCTCCTCCAGCCATGTTTGGGACTAGTGACTGCTTGGGCAGCCCCCAGACGTGACCCCCCCCCACCAGACAGACTCCATGGCTAGCTCAGGGCAGGCTGAGGGGCACCCACCTCAGGCGCTGCTCCCTCCAGGCCTGAAGCCCAGCCAAGGCCAGGAGGTCATGGCTGTCTGCAGGGTCAGACCCCAGGGTGGCAACCTTGTCTTCCAGCCTATTTGGGGGCAGCTGCTCCGGGGGTGCCCAGGCCTAGGGAAGGAAAGGGCTGGTTTGGGAGCATGGCCTTTGCAAGGGCTGGGTGGGCAGTCACCAGGGGAAGGGCTTATTCAGGTGCAGGGGCCTGGGACAGCGGGGCTTGTCCCTGGGATGGCCTTCGGAGTACTGGAGTCCGGCCCACTGGGGGCAAGGCATACCTGGGACTTGTGCCGGCGCTCCCGCAAGCCCTTGGTGGGGTTCCCGCAGAGGACCGGGCCGGCACCTGGGGAAGAGGATGCATCTGGGCCTGGTTTGGGGCTGAGGGGCTGCAGAGCCAGCTTCATGCTGAGGTGAGGCAGTTACCATGGGTGAGGTTGCTGGTGTCGTCCTCTGGGGCTGTGTCCTTGGGAAGCAGACCTTCAGGCAGAGGGTCCCCAGGGACCAGCAGGGATAGGGGCCAGGGCCTCGGGGCCTGGGGTTGGGTCTCAGGCAGGGACAGCTCAGGGCTGAGTCCCCAAATGGGTGCTTCATGGGGACGATCTGCCCAAGGATAAAAATCAGGTCAGAGGCCTGTGCCAGATGGCCAGGAGCTCCCCAGACTCTGTCCATAGACAAGGGACCCCCGCCACCCCACATCTGTGTGTCCTGAGGCCCAGTGCCACAGGGTGGAAGGGTGGGGTCCCACCAGGAGCTGCTCACAGCAGGGGTGCCCTGGCCTGGGGGCAGGTATGCAGGGCTCCGGGGACAAGGAGTTAAAGCTAAAAAGGGATACAAGATGGGCAATCCTGCTCTGGGGGGAGGCCTGGCCTGCGGAGCACTGTGGGGCGACCAGGTCTCCAGGCTGAGTGGGGCAGCTCTTGCTAGGCGGGTGACTGCCATACCCAACCTGGGGAGCAGGCTGTCCAGGACACTGCCTTCCTTGATGGCCTCCTTCACCATGAGCCAGTCCCGGTCCAGCTTCCGGGAGGCTGGCAGGTCTGTGTGTATGGCGGCATCTCATCCAGGACCCGCAGCTGGGGGACGAGCTACCTCACCTCTGCTCAGTAGTGGTAGCCCTAGGGTGCCTGCAGGGTGAGGGGCAGGCATGAGTCCAGTGGGCCCCTCAGGACAGCTTTATCCTGTGGCTGCTTCCCCTAGACCTGCTGTGGGGCAGGGCAGATGAGGAGGGGGCGTCAGTGCTGCTGCCCCGCCCTGCCAGGGCTGGCCAGGGCACTCTGCACTCACCCACATGTGACCTCACTCTCCAGGCTCACCACCAGGCTCCAGCAGTGCCCTCTGGCCTGCGGAGCTACCCTGAGCACAGCTTGGGCCAGGTGGGAGGCCTCCATGTACTTCCTCAACCAAGCTCCGGATGGAAAGGCAGGGTGAGCGAGCTTGGGGCATGCATGGCAGCTGTGCGGTGTGCAGGCCTATGATGTATGAATGCATTGCCATGCAGAGCATGCACAGCCTGAGGCAGTGGGGGCTCTGCTGGGGCATGCTCAGGGGTGTGTGAGCATGTGTTTGTGTGCACGGTTCTATGTGGAGACTGTACAGGGCATGCATGTGCCTCCGTGGGCTGGGGGCGTGTCATGTGTGCATGTAGCCGTGTGGGGTTTGCTCCTGGCCCAGGAGGATGCACCAGCAGCTGCCAGGCCTCCAGTGACACAACAGAATGAGTTCGCAGAAATGAGCCACAGCCTACCTGCTGTGCCCCAGATGTGCACGCTACCCAGCCTGGACATGGCCAGTGCCAGGGTGAGCATGCAGGCTGGGTGCCTACCTTGTTGCAGGGGCTGGGTTGCAGGCACACCAGGTTGCCCTGCAGGGTAAGCGTGGCCAGCCTTGGGCACAGCTGCAGGTAGCGCAGCTGCCCCAGACCCTCCACGCTGTTGCCCTCCAGGTCCAGCACCTCAAGCTGCTCCAGCAGGCACAGCGGGCTCAGATCTGAGATGTCATTGTAGGAGACGTAGAGTTCCTGGGGCAGCGTAGAGGCCTCAGCCAGGGTCCGGCCTGGTGCCCTCTCCCTAGCCCAGGGCTCCCACACCCACCTTCAGGGCTGGGAATGAGCCAATGCCATCCAGGTCAGTCAGGCCACAGCGAGCCAGCCACAGCACCTGCAAGTGGCCCAGGGAGGTGCCCAGGTCTCTGCAGAGGGCGGGGGCAGCTGGTCAGTGCTGGCCTGGCCTGGTGGCCATGCCTGTGGCCTTGAAGGCCTTGGGCCGTGCCCCATGCCCGGACGCCAGCCGCTTCTGGCTCTCTTCAGGTGCAGGGGCAGATGAGACTGTGGCTGATGCAGCCTTCAGGGGGAGGAAGGGCCCCCAGCGCTCCCTGCCTTCCCTCTTTGCTGCAGCCCCCTGGTCCCCAGCATGGGCAGAATGGCCTCCTCCTTCTCCAGCTGCTGGAGGGCCTGGACCTGGCCTCTGGCAGCTGCCCTTGTGCTGGACCCCTCAGCACAGCCTCACCTGCTGCCCGCGGCCATGAAGGGAGGCCGGCCAGCTGCTCGCCCTCTCTCCCCTCAGCCCCTCCCCCAGCCCAGCTGTGCCTCTGCCAAGGGCCAATCCCCAACCTATGCCCTGGACTTGTCCCTGCCACCCTCCCTATGCAGATGGCCGGGCCAGGCCCTTCCATCTGACAACTGTGGGGGCAATCCTTCTACTCCCTGGCCTCTCTGGGCCCCACCTCTGCCAGTAGGGCTCTCTTGGCCTGGGTGTCCCACAACTCCTGGCAGGGCATGGGCCCACCACCCATAACTCTGTCAGTTGGCCTCTGCGATGTTCTTGATGTCATTTTGCTTGTATTTTCTCTCACCCTGTGCCCACCTGCAACCCTACCACTCCCCTGTGGGTCCTCTGGACATGACTCTTGTTTTCTGCCTTCTCTCTCCCATTTCCATCTCTCTGTTTTTTCTTCTGCTTTCTGGGAGATTTCCTTATCAGCCAACATTGCTGTTAGCGTTCTTACATTGACCATAATGTCTCATTCCTAACATTCGGCGCTGTTCTCTCATCCTTTTTCACAGCATGCTGTTCTTGTTTTGAAGATGCAAATACACCCATCTCCTCTGTGTCTCTCAGAACCTCATGTGAAGAGGTTTAGGAATCTCACTCTCCTAAATTGTCTCTGTCTCCTCTGGGGCCTTCTGGGTCTGTTTTGACCTTTTCCTTTCATGCTGCAGGTGTTGTAGTATTTCTCATTATATTGTTAGTAGCATCTTGGGCATCCAAATTGTGAGTGAGGGGCTGCACGGCTGCTTAGAAGTGCTGAGCCCCCGCACTGATGTGGGGGCCTCCCTGTGGGTGACGACCAGTGGCTGGAGGTGGTGGTGGATGCCTCCACGTGTCCAGTTGGCTCCACAGCCACTTGGGTTCCCTGTGCCCCAGAGTGTGCCTGGTGCCTTCACACCTCAGGAGTTGGCACTAGCTCTTCTCCCTGCTCAGCAGGGTCTGCCTTCCAACACTAGGATGCCTCATCCACATAAGGACATTACCACTCCGCTTGGGTCCCCCGTGGCCAGCAGTTCTGCGTGGCCCTGTGTGGCTCAGGCACTTCCTCAGCCTGTGCTCCCAGATGCCCTGGGTTGTGTCTCTTCGCCACTGCTCCCTGTGTGGGCTCTGTGGGTTCGTCTGCTGCTCACATCTACTTTAGCCTTTGCCCTTGGGGCACAGAGACTCTGTGGTCACCCCCAGTTACTGCCTTCAATGGGTTTTCCAATCGTTTCTGAATTGGCTGAAATTTGTGTCTAGTAATGTCTTCAAGATGCGCTAATCAAATGATTTTCTGTGGCCTCTCACTCATTCACCAGTGCTGGCTGGGCATGAAGTCCTTGGTTCATAAGTTCTGCATGGGCACCATTCTCTTGTCTTCTGGCTTTGAGAGTTTTTGTAGGGAAGTCTAAGGAAAACTCCACTCTTTTCTTTTGAAAGGAAGCCGTGATCTCTTTTCTTGGCTGCCCCCACGTTTTGTCTTTATCTTGAAGTCCAGCAACTTTATTAGGATGTTTCACTGTTGGCAATTCAGTCTCAATTTTTCTTTTAATCTGTAGATGAAAATCTTCTTTTATGTCTGACAAATTTTCTTTAACCTTTAAATATATTCTCTGTACTATGATTTCAGTTTACTTTGCAGAGACTACAATTATGCAAGTATCATACCACCTTCCATCTCTTAGATTCTGTTCAACTCCTTTCACAGACAGTTAGTTTTACCTCTTTTTTTTTATCATTCCTGTCTTCCCATACAATAATCTTGTTTGGGTTTTCCGCAGTATTGCTTTCAGGTTTGGTTTCTTTCTTGTCATGGAAATTGTTTCATTCATTTGTTTGCAAAGTTTGCACACATATTCCTGCTTGGACCTGTGGTTCAGACCTGGACACAAGGCCAGGTCTAGCTGCAAGGGAGCCTGGAAAATCTGAAGTTTTGTTTGGGTAGCTACATGCCTAGCTAAAAGTGGGGAATCCTATTGTATGGAAGAACAAAGATTGGGAATAACTAGTAAATTTTGCTTCATCTCAAATCAAGTAGGAAAACTTCCAAATACTTAGAAATAATGCCAAAAAGCACAGCACACACATTTCGTTGAACCCTGCCTAATGCTGTACATGAAGAGCAAGAGGGGAAGATGTAATACAGGTTAGGGTATAACTAGTGACAGCCGGAAAAATCAGAGTTTAACCAAGCCTGACCCGATTCTTTAAAATGCATGGACAGTCCTCTGATAAGTCTGGTCAAGGATGCAGAGAGACAATGGCAACAAATGTTTGGAATTTAGAAAAAGGAATAACTGTATCCATAGGAGCAATGAAAAATAATAAAAGGCCATGAAGAACAAAGTATACACCAATATATTTGAAAACCTAGACAAAGCATCAAAAGAAATGGAAAACTTAATTAGACTAATAGCCATTAAAGAAATTAAATGGTGATTAGCTCCCTACCCCTGAGTCCCCAGATCTGGGCCAGTTTTAAAAGTAAGTTCTAATGAACTATCATGGAATAGACAACCTCTATCTTCTACACTACTTCCAAATACAGGAAGTCTTAAAAAGTAGAGCAGTTGAGAAGAACAGAAGCAGGGAAACACCTTTTGAGCTGGTCCTTGATCCCCGGAGCAGAGAAGTCCACCGCTCTGGAGGGAAAAGACCATTAGTCACGGAAACAGACATGAAGACTTCAGAGCCAATAGCATTTTAATGTTCCACTCATTGTGATCAAGTAGTGTTACTTTGGAATGTAAAGATGAATCACCATCACAAAATCTGTCAACAGTCCAGTACATTAATAGACTAAAGCAGAAATACCACTTTATGATCATGTCAATAGATGCGGAGGAACTCAGACACATATCCATTAAGATCAGGAACGAAGCAAGAATGCCTGCTATTACCATTCCTAACATTGCACTGGGCAGCAGGTCCTGGCCAATGTTTTATATGATAAAAAGGAGCGTGAGGGCTGGAAGTGAAAGATAACACTCATAATTTGATCATCAATACCGAAACCCAAACTGAATGAACAAATTGCTTTGGGGGTGTGGATGAACTTCCTAAATAATACCCAAAGCACCAACCAGAACTGATGGGTTGGAACAAATCAAAATGCAAGGTTTCTGTTTAAGTCAGAGCAGTGGGAGAAGACAGGTGGAGAGTTTTGCAAAGTCTAAAATACACCCAGGCTACCCAGAATTAGCAGGCTAGGTGAAGCCAGGCTTGGCACCCTCAGAAACAGAGAAACGTGTGATTAACTCTTGCTGAAAACTGTCCATATTATTTTAATAATTTCCAAATTGGCTGTTGAGTTCTAGAGACTGTTAATGCGCTTTTCCCACAAAACCAGTACTAAGCCAAGGGACCCCTTGTCGGATGCTGGCTGGTGTGGGGAGCAGGCCAGGCTGCTCTGTGCCTTTCTTCTGAGTGGAAGGCTGGCTGGAAAGCAGCCCCATTTGTACAGGGCACTTGTCTTCACACCGGCAGTATCTTCAGGTGCTGAATTCTCCTTCAGTTTCTACACTGAAATTATTATCCAGACCTTATAATACTGCCTGAGATTTTAATGTTTTTAATATCTCTATTATCAGCTCAATTATAATACTAGTTTATTGGACTGACATATTTAATTAGATAGTTTCCTTTTACAAATTTTTGTTCACTTTCAACACATGGAGATTTCCAAGCATTGCTTGGCCAAACTTCAGGATTCAATAAAAGACAAAAATCCATTACATTTTCCACTGTTGTTATCAAGGAACAGAACAGGAGTTTCATAAAATATATGATGTAATCATCTTCCATGGAACTGAATTTTTTGTTTTCTTGGAATTGAGTATTTTGCTTTGTTACAAATAGTATATAATTTTATAGTAACTTCCACTTCTCTGTATAGTTTTTATCCTTTATGTTTTTTACATACTTTCATTGTAATTTGAGGTTAATTTGCAAGCCCTAACAACAAGAAACAAGTATGACTTTTCGCCTCTGTTAAGCTAAAAAAGAATACAGATATCTTTATCAGAATGTCGCTTCATAGTGTCTTAAAGGCGAATCTGAAGGTCTGTGTTCCAGCACCTTGTTCACGGGGAGCTGGCTGGCATTTCCTGCAGCTTCGGGGGACGTCCAAAGAGCTGCCCACCAGGCCCACTAGGACCGATTTCCTCTGCTTCCATTTCCAAATCTTCACATGTTTTATTAAGTTCCTTTCGATGTTTGTTTGATAAATAGCAGTATAAATAAGAAAAATCAAGAAAACATTTAAAGCGAGGTTTTTAAAATAAATGCCTTTTTTGCCTCACCTGGAAATGGCTGGGCATGTACAGCCCATTTTAAACATCTGGAGAACTTTCTAGAATTTTGACTGGACTCCCTCTACCTTATGCTGGCTGGCCCTGGCTACATAAAAATAGCATTGTTGTCATGAAACCCATTTTTCTCAAACACCAAAAATAATCTTATATTACTTCAGCTTTCTTCTTTCCAGCCCAATGAGATAGACAAAAAACACTGGTCTGTCCTTAGTTTTGAATTTCATCTGTTACGTTAATTATTAAGGTGCTGCTGTGTTTTACGGGGTGGGGGTCTGTGGCCAGGCCTCTGCTCAGCAGAGGATGCGCACCCCTCTTGTTCCTGACCAGCACAAGTGCTGAGGGGGACTGCATGGCCCAGTGCTGTTGGTGTTGGAGTGTCCACCAGAGAACCCTTGCTGACTGGGGACCCTTTGCCAAGTCAGTGGGCACCTTCCAGGCACCGCAGAGTGGCTCCAAGGACCTCAGCCACGTGACCTGTTGTGACCAGCCTGACACTCACTGCAGGCTCCAGGTATGCATGTCACCTTCAGCAGGTGACTCCAGCTGACCAGGGGGTGACTGATGTGAGCTGCATGTGCCAGTCCAGCTGCAACCAGAAATGGCAGGACACATAGGAGCCTCTCAAATGGGACCCTCCCCCAGGAGAGGCCCACTCCAACTGAGCTTTCCCTGCGGTCCCTGCAGGACCCCCACCCCCATGGCCCCCAGGAGGGGACTCACCGCACGGAGCCCAGGCAGCTGCCATTCAGCTTCAGGTGCCGTAGGTTGGGTAGGTGCACCCCTGTGGGGCCACGGGAGGGAGAGGTTGGCGGCAGGGCCCACCCCGGCCCCAATATGCGCCCTCCAGAGTCACCAGGGCCCCTCAGACACCATTGCCCATGGCTGCTCAGAGCTCCAGTGGTGACCTCAGAGCCACTACGGCCGCCACAAGGTCACTGGACTCCAGGAGTCAGCCTGGAGGAGTGGAGCCCGGCTGGCATGGGCGGGGCTGCCACAGCTCGGTACCTGTTCCCAGCCACCTCCCACGGCCCGCCATGGGCACCCAAGGGACACCCAGACCACAGCCTCCATCAGCCTGCAGAACTGGTGCCAAAGGACAGGAACCCCCGGCCAGTGTCCCTGTGCTACCCAAAGCCCCTGGGAAAGGGTCTCAGGGACTGAATCTCTTGAAGAACAGGCCACTGACCCTGCAAGACAGAGCCCCTGGTCCATGTAAAGAAGGGTTTAGGGAGGGCCTGTAGGGTACAGGGCAGGTCTGCAGGGTACAGGGTGGGGTGGACAGGTAGGGGCTCTCACCAAAGGTCCCCAGGCTGTTGTCACGGGTATTCACACACATCTCCAGCATGCTCACCAGTCGGAGGTCATCTACCTGGGCCAGGGCCTGCTGCAGGAACCATGGGTAGTCAGCCCTGGACTGGGCAGTGGTCACTCCCTCCCAGTGACACACTTTCTTTGGCTTGGTACTGGAGCAGGTGGCAGACATCTGCCATGGATGGCTTTGGCTGGTGGAGTATGAGGGAATGTGACATGGGGAGAGGTTACTGCTTGGCTGGTGGGGCCCCTGCCAGAGAAGGGCCTGCACTGATGAGTGTGGTCCCCAAAGAACAGACCCAAAATGGCCCAGAGTTTGGAGCCCCCTCTGCTGAACCACAGCCAGCCTTAAACCCATGGACAAGTGCATTTATGCTGCGAGCTGCTGAGTTTGGGGGTTGCGTGTTACACAGCATGACTGCAGCAATAGTTGACTCATACAAAAAAGGGCCTAGATGCAGTTCCAATTGCTACCACAGCAAAAACAACTAAATGATATGATGTTGGATTTGGGGTGTGAGTGTCACTGGATCTGGAAAGATGGAGACCTGTATCCTGTGACAATAGACTATTGGTAACATGGTCCCCTGTGGTCCCTGGCAGAAGGTGCATGCAATGAATCTGTGACACTGGGCAGAGAGGCCCACCCACATTGCGGGCAGTGAGCTGGCCACGGTTAACTGCGCTTGACAAGCTACTGGGATAGACACAATTCAGAGTGCGGGAAGAGAGGCCAGGAATTTTGAAACTTGCGGGCTTGAAAAATGAAATGGTGTCTCAATTCCAGTCAGGAAAAGAAAAAGCTGAGGAGGGAATGGAGTGGGAATGACCCAGACAGAGTCAGCCTTGGGGACCCCCAGGCTGGTGACTGAGTCTGGGGGAAAGAGTCTGGAAGAAATCACAGGTGTGGCTTTTCATGCCTGGCATCACCCAGGCTCAGATGTGTTAGAAGCACGAAGGGTTTTGGACTGGCCTGGTCTGGGTTGCCTGTGACCGTCTGAAACAATGTTGCTCAGACCATGTGCACAAAGGCAGGTTCTCCAGCCAGGAGCCAAGTGAAGAAGGAAGAGGGCCCAGGGTGGACAGGAGCCAGGCCTGGGACACAGGGCTCTGATCAAGGCGTGTCCCTGGCACAGGGGCCCTGCAAATATTCACCCAGAGCCCAGTGACCACCAGACAGCTCAGCTCCCCTCCTGCCTTCTCCAGTGGGAGCAGCTGTTGAGTTATCCGTCGTGCCCCAACTCCGCAGGCTAGCTTTGGCAGTCCACAGTGGTCTTTTGCTGGACAGGGTCCCCAGGAGCAGTCCTTTAGATGCAGGCAATGCAAACATTTCCTCCCAGGATGCTGGACCCCCTTGACATGTGATTAGTGTGGAGACGTGGAAAGGGAGGTTCTGAATGTGGCGCAGGTGGGTTACTGCTCCCCCTCGTCACTCCCTCCCTGAATTAGAACTGTGCGCCCATTTGCCAGCCAGAGACAATACAGACCCCAGAGTACGTGGCCCATATATGCTGAACTTGACCAAGGGAGCTCTCAAGTGGGCGCCTGTGGTTCGCCTGCAGCTCACCTCCACTGTTTATCACGAGGAGGGCAGCTCCATGTGTCCCCTTCCACCAGGGTCCCAGTGGGAGCCCAGTGAGTGGCCTGGAGCAGAGTGGCCTACAGACCCCCAAGCTTCAGCAGAAGGTGGGTGGCTTGTGGTCAGCACTATGTGGCCATGGAAAACAGATACAGAGACCTGCTGGGCCCAGGCATGGGGGGAGCAAGGCCACCAAGGCTTCTGCAAGCACTTTATAGTCAACAAGATGCACCCAGGAGAGGTCTGAGGCAGGCAAGGCCCTGAGGATGGGTTCCACGTGGGTCTGAGGACAGCTTCATGGCACCATTTGCAAGTTTGCACCCCAACTGGGCCTGATTTTATGGGCACCCCAGGCTGCACAAAGCCTTCTGTGTGGCTGGGACATCTCCCAGGGGAAGAGGACCCCACTGTCCATCTGAGGATGATGCAGTGACTGCTGGCCTGAGTGTCCCTGTCTCATCCTGCCAAGTTCTCTGCTGGCTGCTGTCCCCCAAGAATGAATACAGACACTCCAGAAAGTGCCAGGGACACCTGCAGCTATGCGCTGAGCCTGGGTCTTGTCTCCTAAGCTTTGGCCTGTGTGAGCTCAACTCTAGCCCTGAGGGTACCTGGGGAGGGCTTCCTCCATCTGCCCTGCCTGGCCTGGTCTGGCCTGGTGTGTCAGGCTTCCAGTGCGTGGTGCTGGATAGGAGGCGAGGACTGGACCAGCCAGCATGTGGAGGAGGTCGCTGCTTGTCAGTCCTGGTCCCGGTGCTATCTGGGAGTGGCCAGGCTGGACCCAGTTCCACCCTGTCCTGTTGTGTGGGGCAGGGGTTCTACTCCAGGCCAGCTGCTCTGTCCACCATGACTCCACCATGACTCCGAGTTGGTCGGGAAGGTGGGCGGGGACCTCCGGTTGCCAGGCTTCCTTCTGCTGTGTGTTGGTGGGCGCACCTCCCCGGGGTGTGCAATAAACCCCACCACGTGGGCATCTCACTGGGGTGCAAGCCTGAGTGCAGGGGAAGGGGTGCCGGGGGGTGGGTCTGGGTGGGGCCTGTGTCATGGCATGGAGTCCGCCCCCTCTGCGTGGCCAATGGTGGTCGAGGGGCGTGGCCAGGAAGGGAAGCGGGCTGGAGCTGGGAGGTGCAGAATTCCCAGTTGGGTACCCAGACGGGAACCTACTCTTAGGAGAGCTCTGTAGATCCTGCTCGGCCTCAGAGTGAGGGTGCGAGCGACAGCGAACCCCACCCCAGATTTGGGAGAAAGTCTTCACCAGCTGCCCCGGTATGGCAGAGTGACCCCAGAATGGCCCCACCTGACTAGCCCATTCCGGTGCCTGGGTTCCCTTCCTCTACCCACCGCTTATTGCTTATTTCTGGCATCGACAGGACAGCTGGGGACAGAGGGCAGGCTGGACACTGGCCTGGGAAGTCACCTATGCAGGTCACTGAGGTCAGGGTCCCCAGCCCCCAGAACTCACCAGCCGGGCAGGTGACAGGTACTCCACCAGCGGCTCGCAGTGACTGCCCCCATAGCTGCCCTGGTCCTTGCTCTGTGGGCAGGGGTTGTGTAGGCCCTGCCAGCTCAGCTCCCGCACTTGGACACTGGCCGTGCTGGGCCGAGGCCCACAGGTTCCATCCCAGGCCTGGTCCATTCACACCCGACCTGCTGGGGATAAGCAGAGGGCAAAGCCATCAAGCCTTCACTTTTCTGATCTGCAGCCTGGCTGAGACCCCCACACAGCCCTCAACACATCTCCGCACACAGAAAGCCCCTGGAGCCCACCCTCCAGGGTCCGTGAGAGGGGTGCAGCTCCAGGCCTCCTTGTCTGAGGCCCCATGTAGGCTGTGAGCCACAGGGGGATGGGGCGGCAGGCCACACGTCATGCTTGCTCAGCTGCTGTCCAAGCCCAGCAGCAAGCTCTGTGCTGTGCATCCCTCTCCACCTATGGTCTCTGAGCCTGGAAGGACCAGGACCAGGGTCTCAGGCACCCCCACACTGTCCCTGTGCCCACTGAACTCCCTTACCTGGAGGCAGCTGCCTTTTCCCACTGTGGATCAAACATCCAGGCAAGGCGGTGGCATATGGCCCCAGGCAGCACCTGCAAGGTCATCATGCCCAGGGGACTCAGGACAAGATCAGAGGCCCAGAAGCAGGTGTAGAGGTGGTAGAGGCTAGGCCTGGCCCTTTGGTCCTTTCAACCGTCCTCACAGGGGACCAGGCCCAGCTAAAGAGGAAGACAGCAAGGTGGGTGATTGACTCCATCCTCTCTTGAAAAGGGGTCCCAAGTCTGTGCTCTGGACCATCTCCCATGGACTGGCCTCCTGGTCACCCTGTCCCTCCTGGGCCCCAAATCCAGGCCCCATGGGAAGCTGCCAGTGTGTCCCTAGACCACCTGTACCAGCTTCCCTGGCATTGCTCTGCAAAGACTTGGGTGCCTGGCCCCTCCAAATCCTGGAGCCATCTTGACATGTAGAGTCAGAAGTCTGCCCTGAATCTCCTGGCCACCTCCCTCCATCTTGGGTTGAGGCCTCCCTGACTCCCCTCTCCTGTGTGCCCTCCTACCCTTCCCAGATTTACTTTCCAGGGGAGGCTGACCCTGCTACAGCACTCTGTGTTTTTTGACTCATTTGCTGCCCCAAGACAATGTGGGCCCTGTGCCAGCAGGACACTCGACTGTGAGTCCAGTGTGCAGAAGAGGGGCCCTAAAATAGTCACCCCTGTGGAATTGTCCCCCTGTGAACACTCAAAAGTTTTCCTCCCCATCGGGGCTGGAGACACCCACACCCCACCCCCAGCCAGGAGTGTGGTCTGCTGGGCTTTGGCAGAGGCCAAGGGAAGAGGTGCTGGGCCCTGGGATAAGCTTCCTAGGCTCTGTGCCCAGTGTGTCTGGAAAGCGACCTATCCACCAAGGATCCGGGGTAAGGCCGTGGCGGTGAGCCCCAGCGTGGACCCTCATTGGGTTTCTGGACAGGACTTCTTTCCAAAAGTTCCCTGTGCTGTCTGCCTTCCTCCTGCTGGAGAAGGGCCCCAAGCCTCGCAGGACTCCACCACCATGCCCCCTGCGAGGATGCTGCCCATTCTCACACAAGAGGCCTGCCAGCCCCAGGCCATGGGGAGAGTGAGCTGGCCCGGCTGTGGCCCTGGACACCAGTGGGCAGCATCCAGGGCTGAGCTGCTGCCCTCCTCCCTCTGGGCCGGAGAGCCGCTGACCTGAGGTCCTGCCCACAGCTAGGCCCAGAGTATCCGTCTAGTCCAGCCCAAGGGTCTTGGGGTCCAAGGAGCACGAGCAGGGCCTGGCTGGGAGGCTATAGCTCCCAACTGGACACCGTCCCTCCCGTTTACATACTGACCCATACCTATCCTCTCGGCCTGCATGGCCCTGCTCCCACCCTGCCCGCCAGTTTACGGGCCACGCACACCCCAAGCGGGAAACCTGAAGGCCGAGTGTCTCCGAAGCCCAGGCAGTGCCGGCCCCTGGCCTGGCTCCCCGGCTCCCCGGGCCCTCCACCCCTCCATGCCTTCTGCACTGCGGGCGGGGCTCTGAGGGCAGGGCCTGCTCCCCTCCTAGTCCCCACCGTGGAAACTCCCAGAGCAGAGTCGGGGTCCCTGCTTCTGTCTCTCCTCCCAGGGGCCGGGCTTGGGGCCCACCCTGTCTCATATTTGACACCTGGGGCACCACTGAGTCCCCAGCTGGCTTTGTTGCTCCATCCTCACGCCTGCCCCTCGACCTCTCGTTTCCCCCCTGGCACCGGGGAGATAGCGAGGTCTGGGGCCTTGGACCCAACGGCGTGCTCAGCCCTCACCTGAGGGGTCGGCTCCGGCGACGAGGCCCTGGGGCTCGGCCCTGGGCGCCCTCCGCTCGGAGGCCTCTCAGACTCCGGGTAGTTCTTCCAGCAGCGGGGATGCGGGGCCTAAGTGCCATGGCAACGGGGGCGGGGCTTGTTGAATACCCAGATACTCCCGAGGGGCGGGATCTCCCAGGTTCCTCGGGCCAAGCCACGCCCCTTAGCGACTGTTGCTAGGGCAGGACGGTGGGGGCGGGGCCGCAGCCAGGCGGGTGGGGGCTCCCGCGTTGCGCTCCGCACGTGCGTGGGCGTCCTTCCACCCAGAGGGAAGCCCTGGCGCGCACGGGAACGTGTAGGACCCCAGCCTAGGCGGCAAGCGGGGAGACTCGCTCCCACCTTACCCAGATCCCTGAGGCGGGGCCCTGCGGGGTTGACCCCACCAGCCAGTGTGGCCCACGCCTCGACAAAAGGAAACGCAGTGGGAAAGGACCCTCTGAACTCGAGGGGTTGCGGATTCTAGTACCCGCAGGGGGCCCCGAGGGTCCGTCCGCCGCCGCCTGTCTGCCTGACCTTCGCGCCCCCTCGGGTTGGGGAGTCGCCAAGGCGCCCTGCCGGGTGGCCAGGGTCGGCCCCGCGGGCCGAACCTGCAGTGGGTGAGATCCGGGACTGCATGGGTGAGATCTGGGCCGTGCGTACTGCACCGCTCTTCCTTGCGAGGGTAAGGAGGGTGAGTTTACGCTCTACTTTGAGAATTCAGAGATGCTAAAAAACGTGTTTTGGAAAGAGATAATGTGTTTGGGCTTGGAATTGGAGGTCTTCACCCTCCTATGGCGACTTTTGGGTTGGATTTGCTGGTACCGTTTGTTAATGGGGTCTCAGTGAGCTTTTGCAGGACTGGAACCTCGAGTTTGGGGGTGCTGGGTGAGCCAGTGGTCTGCAGTCTGCCCAAGTCGAAGGAGACTTGTGGTGAGGGGTGATGCGGGAGTGAGGGAGGGGGACCCTTCTCGGAGCTCCGCGCGGGGGGCTCGCTAGGTAAGTAGGAAGCAGGATCCCCATACGGGGTAAAAGACTGAGCACCGCATGGCCCGGGGCGCGCCGGCCGAAGATGCCAGGCACCCGGGAGGGGCCGCGCCCGTCTTGGAGCCCACTGCGGGGATGGAGGTGCAGGGCAGCAGGGCCCAGGACACTGGGGGACCCAGGTTCCTGGCGCAGCCCGGGCCTGCTCGATCGCCTGACCCTCAACCCGGCGCCCCTCCGCCTTTCTCCAGCCGCAAGCCCGGAGGTCGTCCTGGGTGCTGACCCTGAGCTCCCTGAGGCTCCACCCCGTGCTCTTCCTTACACGCTGGGGACCCTCGGTGGGCTGCGCGGCATGGCGCGGCGCAGAGAAGGCGCACACGGGGAGGGCGCGGGCGCCGCTGTGAGCGCCGCCAAGGTACCGCGGGTCCTGCCGCGGGGCTAAAGGCAGCACAGGGTTGGGGGAAGAGGCGTTGTGTATTTTCCTCCGTTCTTGCCCCCGCCGCGACCAAGAATTGAAGGGCAGAGACACAGTAGTGAAGCAGAGGAAAATGTATATTTTAAGTTACTTAGAACTGCAGGCGACCTCAGAGAGAGAGGAGCGCCCTGAAAGGTTGGAAAAAAAGTTGCGCCTTTGGAAAGTGCGGGTGACCTCCGAGAGAGGAGCGCCCTGAGAGGTTAGGGGTTCCCCCTTTTAAAGGTTTTTCAGGAATGTGACAAAGGACTAGGGGTGTGAGCTTGTTAAGTGGTCTCAAGTATCTTTGATGAGACTTCAAGTTTCTTATCAGTCCTCTAGGTAATTCTGCAACAACAGCTCATCAATCAAGACTGTCTGCCCTTCCTCCAAGGTGGGCAGAGGTATTTGTTTGCTAAAGAGTATGTTAAGAACCTTTCTTCTTTTTTTAAAATGCAATTTTGGCTTTAAGGTGGGATCACCCTGTCTTATTATGCTGTTTATAGGTGGGCCTTTTTAGCTGGCTAGAGTCAATCTTACAGTGATCTAATTGACACAATGAAGACATGGGCTGTGCTCAGAAACTT